AAACCCTGTCTCGAAAAACCAAAAAAAAAAAAAAAAAAAAAGGGAATATGAGGCCATTATGACACCTGAAAAGAGATTGAATGTCTTCATTGTACCAGGCTTCTTCTTTTGGGCCACCAACTGGCTCCCAAATCATGACAAAGAGACTTATTATTAGTTTTGAATGCTCGGCCTCACTTAGGCTCCTTTCTGGCTAGCTCTTTTAACTTAAATTAAGTTTTTCTTGATCTGTCTTTTGCCTCGGGGTTATTCCCTTTCTTACTTCTGTATATCTTCCTTCCACTGCTTCTGGTGTCTGCTGGCTGGCAGCTGCCGGGCCTCTGGCCCTGGGGGTCTCTCTCGTTCTTTCCTCTTCCTTCTCTTGTTCCTCTCCTGAGCCTATTTGTTCTTTCTGCCCCCCAGCCCTGCCCATCCTTTCTCTGCCTGGCTATTGGCTGTTCAGCTTTTTGTTAGACCAATCAGGTGCCTTAGGCAGGCAAGGTGAAACAAATGCAACATCTCTACATAGTTAAACACATACTACAAATAAACAAAGCACAGAAGTAACACACCTTCACACAGTTAAAGTAATAATATTCTGCAGCATAAACAAATGTAACACATCTTTGCCCAGTTAAAACAACATTCTACAGCACTTTCTACCATCTAATATCCAGTCAAGGGTCTCAAGTTTTTTTTTTTTTTTACAGCTGGGCATGGTGGCTCAAGTTTGTAATCCCAGCAGTGGGTAAACTGAGGCAGAAGGAGGGTCACTAGGAGTTTGAGGCCAACATGGGCTCCAAGAGTTCCATAGAGCATTTCTCAAGAAACCATAAAGGGGGAGGACTAAGGAGCTGGCTTAGTGAGTAAGAGCACTCACTGCCTGGGAAAGCAAGGGGTCTGAGTTCAGCTCCCCAGCCCCCAGGTATCAAGCTGGCCATGGCCACGTGTTTCTGTAGCGCCAGTCTTTGGGGCAGAGACATTGTGGATCCCAGGATCTCACTCCCCAGCCATTCAAGCTGAAATCATGAGCTTGGGATCCTGTGTCAAAAGTAAGAGGTGGGGCTGGGAGATGGCTCAGGGGCTAAGAGCACTGTGTTGTCTTGCAAAGGATCCAGTTTGTTCCCCACATGACGGCTCACAACATCTGTAACTCCAGTTCTAGGGGACCTGACATGCACAGGGTACACAGACACACGTGCCAGCAAACACTCATATGTATAAAACAAAAAGAAGTAAATCTAAACAAAAATAAGGTGGAGCGAGATAAAAGATATTTGACATTTGCCTCTGGTCTCCACATGTATATGCACAGGTACACAACACATGCATCCATCCATACAACTACATATGTACCACACACGCCAACCACAAAAGGGCTTAGGATATAGCACACTGGTAGTGCACGCTTGTGATTCCAGTGCTTGGGAGGTGGAGGCAGGAGGTTCAGGGACTTGAGTTCATCCTTGACTATATACATATATATGCTATGTATGGAATATGTACGTACACACACACACACACACACACACACACACACACACACACACGGACTGCCTTAGAACACTAAGCTCTACAGAATCACTAATATCCGCATGGGGAACTGTTAATGTTTTGTTTCTCTCCCTGCCTCAGGAACCTCAGCAGAATGAAGAGAAGAGCTGAAATACTGCCAAACCAGGCCCTTTTCTGATGGAGGCTGGGGCTCCGTGGGGTTGGGGAAAGTAAAGAAAGTGTAACCTGTTTCCCTGTGTGGCCTCTGACAGTGTCCGCTGTCACCACGCTCACACCTGAGGTCTGCGGCAGCCACCCGCTACGTGCTCTCAGCATCTGGTCCACAACCGAGTGTGGGAGGAAGGAGGGGGAAGGGCATCACTCTATCCTTAAAGACTCACATGCTAACGGCTTGGTCCCCAGGCTGGGCTGCTTTGGGGAGGTGGTGGAGACATTGGGAGATGAGGCCTAGTGGGTGGAAGTTAGGTCATTGGATGGGTGTTCCAGAAGGGGATAGTGGGGGGATCAGGACCCCAGACCTTTCCTCTCTCACCACGAGGTGAGCCACGATGCACCATGTCACCACAGGGTCAAGGCAAAGGGCCATGCTATGGACTGAGGCCTTTGGAACTGTGAGCCAGAATTAACCTTTCCCTCTTGTGAGCTGATTGTCTTAAGTATTTCATGACAGTGATGGGAATCTGACTAATCTGCAGTATCCTTGGTGTATAATGCTAGACCAGTTGTTCCTGGTGGTCCAGCCTTGACTCCTCATACTGGCAAAGCCAGTTGGTTACTTTTGTCATGGCTTCATTTCCAACAGCCTAATTTAAGACACATTTGGAAAACTTTCCATTGCATAGTTAAGCGTTGAAGTGGGCCGGGTGGTGGTGGCGCACGCCTTTAATCCCAGCACTCGGGAGGCAGAGCCAGGCGGATCTCTGTGAGTTCCAGGCCAGCCTGGGCTACAGAGTGAGCTCCAGGACAGCCAGGGCTGTTACACAGAGAGGCCCTGTCTTGGAAACCGAAGAGAAAAGGAAGAGACAGGGGAAGGCTACTCCGAGAGCCAGAGACGTCCCAGGTGATAGGAGAGAGACGCAGACCTGCGCCAGTCTGCGTTCATCGTTCCGAGTGGTGTGTGTTTGGCTTGTGTTTGACAATCTCACAGTGTGGTGCCAGGGTAAACTCAGCTATCCTGTCCCAGCCTCGAGTACCGGGATTACAGGTGACAGCTATACTTGCCACATATGGCAAGGTGATCATGGGTCAGTCTGGAAACGATAAAGGAAGAAAGGTTGAGCATGTGCAGCCATAAACACTTGGCTGCCGGGCAGAAGTATCAATGCAGCTGACACCAAGAAAGCATCCATCTTGTGCTGAAAGGGGTAACTTGTAAAGATTTGTGTGGGAATGGCCCATGTGTAGGTCAGAGGACACCTTTGGAGGGGTCTGTCCTTTCAACTTCATATGGTTCCAGGCATCACCAGGCTTCCTGGCAAGCTCTTTACCCACTGAGCAATCTTGCCAGACAAATTGCCCAGGCTGGCCTCAGCTTAGACCTTTTTATTGTTTGAGGATCTCACTATGTAGCCCTGGCTGTCCTGGAACTCACAGGGATCTGCTTGCCGCTGTGTCCTGAATGTGTGTGCCACCACAGCTGGACCTTCGCATCTCAACCTCCCAAGCCATCACACCCATCTAGGACTAACTCTTTGGTGACTTTTACGTAGATTTGGTGAATAAAGGCTATGGACCGGTGGGTCATCGAAAAATGAAACCAAATGGCCCTCCCGCATGGAAAACAGCCCTCCCCCACCTGCAGTTAGGGGAGAGATGCAAACATTGAGTGGCAGGGCCAAGTGCATTTTCGATGTTAGTTTTTCCTAACGCCGAGTCTGAAGGACTGGGCTGGGTACAGAGGAAGAGTTCCTGGGCGGATGGAAGTACACAGAGAGGGCCGGGAACACCTATGAAAACACCACCGCTTTTGCCCTTTAACTACTTCCATTCATTCAGAAGTTTTCTCTATGAAAGGAGCAAGCACACACATGCACAGAACATTACAGAAACAACGCATGCCGGGCGGCGGTGGCACTCGCATTTAATCCCAGCACTCGGGTGGCAGAGCCAGGCGGATCTCTGTGAGTTTGAGACCAGCCTGGGCTACGGAGCGAGATCCAGGACAGGCACCAAAACTACACAGAGAAACCCTGTCTCAAAAAACCAAACCAAGCAACCAAACAAACAAAAAGCAAAAAGCCGCTAGGCACAGTGACATACACCCTTAGTCCCAGAACCTGGGAGATGGATCAGGAGTTCATGATCAGCGGCCTCAGTTCTGTGAAACCCCTTCTCAAAAAAAAAAAAAAAAAAAAAAAAAAAACCCACAAAAACAAAAACAAAAACCATACACACACAAAAGCTAGGCATGAGGCAGAGGCAGGAGGATTTTTGTGAGTTCAAGGCCAACCTGCTTTACCACACAGAAGTTCTAGGCCAGCCAGAACTACATAGAGAGACCCTGTTTCCAACAAACAAAAAATAGAGACTGGAGAGATGACTCTGTGGAGTGGGTTGAGTTCCCAGCACCCACATGCATGGGGGCTCCCAGTTGCCTGTATGTCTAGTTCTGGGGACCCCACGCCTTCTTTGGGGCCCCTCAGTCTCTTGCACCCACACAGTACACAGGTACTCATGCAGGCTCTCTCACACATCTTGAAAACAGCAAAAAGGAAAAAAACCATTTTCAAACAATTCAGATGTCCAGAAGACAACTAGTTCATTACACATGTTGGTACAGCCTTAAATAGTAGTCATAAAAAAAAAATAGAGAATTACTTCCAATATTATTGAAAATATAAAAACCCAAGATGTTGATACAGGTACCTACTATCAAGATTTTTTTTTAACATTGCATGTGTGTGCACATGAATGGTAGTCAGAAGAAACAGGAGTGGGTTCTCCTTCCACCACGCGGGTCCCGGGATCAAATTCAGTAATAAGGCTCAGCAGCAAACACCTCTAACCACTGAGCCACGTCGCCAGCCCTATCTTGATTCAAAAGGACTGGGAACGTCGCTGTAGAGCAGGGGTAGCATGTGTAAGGCTCTGGGTTCCATTGTTAGCACCCAGGATTGGGGGAGAACTAGACTGGGCTCGACTCATAGGCATTAGAAAACGGTTTTGAGGTTGGGGATTTAGCTCAGTGGTAGAGCGCTTACCTAGCAAGCGCAAGGCCCTGGGTTCGATCCTCAGCTTTAAAAACAAAACAAAACAAAAACAAACAAACAAAAAACCGGTTTTGAAAACCCTACAGAAAACAATCAGCCTCCCCACCCCAACCCAAATCGCTATGGAAGCTTGCTCAGACAGTTTTCAGTTTGGCAAAGAGAAAAGTTTAACTTCCCATAGCATCTTTTGCTGCTTTTGAGTCTTGTGACTGTACACCTCACCTATCATTTAAATATTAAATCTATTACGATATGGATACAATTACACATGGTCTTGGGAAATACTCATCTCACAAACACATACATATTTTCCCTATCTGAATATTTACAGCTTGTCTACAGAACATCCAACACAAGAATTAACGGCACATTGAGCTTCTCAGCTGACAATGAGATAGCCCCTCAGTTCTGAAATGTCCAAGTTGTCTCAACAGCCTTCTGACGCCAGGAAAACCCAGGACCAACTGTATCTAAGGACCAGTCTCCCCGGTTTCTCCCTGTATCTCGGTCGATTTCTATTTTTTCCCCATTGGTAATTCTCAGACTTCATCTTTGCAAAACCATCGTCCTTTACAGTGGTGAAGCAACCTTGAATTTCCACAAATGCCGGGAGGGAAAAAAGATCAGAAGGGTCCTCTTTGCCAGCCAGCTTCAAGCCTGAGTGTCGACCTCATTCTGGTCCTGCTTCATTCCACCCTGCCCATGGCTGTACTCTGCTTGGATTTCCCACCTCATGACATCTGCCCAGACTTCTGCCTTTGCCTTTGATCCTAAGAGTCACCTGACTTCCTGGCCACCAATCTTTATTTTTATTTTTTAAAGACAGAGTCTCTTGTTGCCCTGGCTGGCCTCCAACTCGCTACATAGCCGAGGATGACCTTGAATTCCGATCCTCCAGCCTCCTCCCTCCTGAGGGCTGGGGTTACTGGCGGCGGCCACCACTCAGTCGGCGGTGGGGCCGCTGGCGTCGGAGGCGGTGAGCGCCAGCGTGAAGGCGCGGGCGTCCGAGTCCATCTGCGGGGGGTTGGCGTCGAAGGCCGCCTCCCTGGCCTTGCAGCCCTCCACGAACAGCCGGCGGCGCTCCTCGATGTCGCGGAGCAGCCTGGTGGGGATCAGGGGGTTGGTGTGCAGGTAGTGTTGGAACATCCGCTGCTCGTGCAGCTCTAGAAGGCGGAGCGGCGGGTGGACGTGCGGCATGGCCATCAGGCCCGCCATGCCCGGGAGTCGCCTGGGGAACGGGCCCGGGGCTCGCACCACGGGCCGGGCGGCTCCGGCCAGCGGGCCTTCCTGGGCCTCGGGGATCCAACTGCCTCCGCCCACTCCCCCCTGCAGGACGTCGCCGATGCCATTCATGGGGCTCAGGTTGGGGACCCTGCTCTCTCCCGGCAGCTCGGACATCGCCGACTGTTGAGTCCCTTAGGTCACCAGAGAGCGCTGAGCTTAGGAGCGCTGGGCACCGGCTCCATCGGCAGGGAAGCTGTGCGCATGCGCGGGCCTCGGCGCGCTGGAAAACGGAGTGCGTGCGCAAGCACCGTGCGCGGACGTCTATTGCCCTCTAGCGGTGCCGTGTGCCATTACCACCGTGGCCGCCTCCAGCTCTGAACTAAGGGGTTCCGTCACATACTTATTATTATTATTACTATTATTATTATTTTATTGTTTTGTTTGAGACAGTGTCTCACTATGTAGCCTTGGCTGGCCTGGGACTCATATACATGCTCAGAGATCTGCCTGCTTCTGTCTCCAGAGAGCTAGAATTAAAGGTGTGCGCCACCACGCCTGGCCAATTTCTCATTTTTAAAAGATGTGTATGAGTATTTTGTCACATATCTGTATATGCACACCATATGTTTGCCTAGGTTCCGCGGAGGTCAGAAGAGGGCATCTGATCCCCTGGAACTGGAGTTACAAGGTAGTTAGGACTCACCACACAGATGCTGGGAATTGAACCTGGATCCTCTGCAAGCAATAGTGCTCTTCCTACAGCCTGTTTTATTCATATGTGTAAGATGGAACTGGATGTCTGGGGAGGTCAAGGTCAACTTTCCATCCTCATGTGGGTTCCGGGTATTGAACTCAGGTTGCTAGTGTTGCTTGGTAAGTTCTTTACCGACTGCCATTTCTCTGGCCTGCACCACATTGGTTTTAATTTTGTGTGTGCACACATGTGCAAGCCATGGCATGTACATGGAGATCAGAATACGACTTTCAGGAGTCAGTTCCGTCCGACCGTGTGGAATTGCACTCAGGTTGTCAGGTTTGGTAGCAAGCACCTCTACCCTGGGTCCATCTTGCTGGCATATTTTCTCAGGAAAGCCTTTATTTTCCGCTCCCATTCAGCGGCACTTCAGTTACCTGAGTGAAATACACTGTTGTCTTGGAGCTGTCCCTTGGTTGCAACTGCCAATCAGTCATCTAACAGACACACAAGAGAGCTGTCTCGGGTGGAGCAGACCTGCAGTCCCTGGATTTGGGAGGTGGAGGCAGGAAGTTGAGAGCAAAGCCATCCTTGGCTACATGGCCAGTTCTAGGCCAGCCCCAGCTGTGTGAAAACCTGTCTGAAGTGTGTGAGAGCCGTTTGCACGCCATCACCTTCGAGTGGCCCAGTTTATGTCTGCAGTGCAGCCGTACCGTGGTCATTAATCAGTGAGGTACCTGCCTTCTTGTGCCTTTGATGAATCCAGAGTCCACTGGCCACCAACCTCTCAACACTGTAGCTCAAGCTTGTAACTGTAGCCATTTCTGTGCCGGGGCAGGAAGACAAAGTTCAAAGCCGGCTTGGGCTACCAAGTTGAGTACAAGGCTAGTCTGGGCAACTTAGTAAGACGCTGTCTCAAATAAAAGTAGGGTCGGGGGCCAGGAGATGCCTCAGTAGGTAAAGGCGATGATGTCTTGAGTTATGACCCTGGGACCCACATGGCGGAAGGAAAATCAACTCCTGCAAGCTGTCCTCTGACCTCTGCATCCTGTGGCGTGTGCACACACACTGGAAGCATAGCTCGGTGGTGATGCTCTGGATTCAGTCAGCACTCAAGAGGCTGAGGCAGGAGGAACTCTGAGTTCCAGGACAGCCATGGCTACACAGTGAGACCCTGTCTCTCTCTCTCTCTCTCTCTCTCTCTCTCTCTCTCTCTCTCTCTCTCTCTCTCTCTCTCTCTCACACACACACACACACACACACACAGCTTGTTAGTAAATTTGAAAAATACAAAGCTCATGCAGTATTACTTCTTGACATGATTTCACAATTCATCATGGTGGATCTGCTTTGCTTTTGTTCTGAGACAGGGTTTCTCTGTGTATTCCTCACTGTCCTGGTACTCCCTTTGTAGACCAGGCTGGCCTCGAACTCATGAACTCACAGAGATCTGCCTGCCTCTGCCTCCTGAATGCTGGGAATAAAGGCGTGCGCCACCAACACCCGGCAGATTCTGGGTTTTGTGACAGGGTCTTGCTACATAGCACAAGTTGGCCTCCAATTTAGCATCTTCCTGCCTCTGTCTCCCGTGTTGGAATTACAGGTGTGTGCTAAGTTCAGCCTGAAGAAGAGGCTCTTGACAAAGTCCAACCACCTTTCTTTTAAAAAACGAATGTTATCTTTCATTTAGATGTGTGTGCTTCTGTGTTTCTGGGTGAATGTGTATGTACGTGAGAATGTGACCCGGAGGCCAGAGGACTGGATCCCTTGGAGCTGGTCATGAGCTGAACCACACGGGTGCTGGGACCCAGCTCTTCTGGTCATGACTGAGCAGCAAGTGCTCCTTCCAGCTGGGCCACCTCATCTCTCCAGCCCCGACAGCCATCTTGCCTTTTTAGGGTTGTGTGTGTGAGTGTTTTGCCTGCATGCATGTATGTGCACTACATGTGTGCCTGATGCCTGTGCAGGACAGAATAGGATGTCAGATCCCCTGAAACTGGAGTTACTGACATTTGTCATTGTGGGCTGCCACGTAGGTGCTAGGAATGAAACCTGTGTCCTCTGCAAGAGTAACAAATGCTCTTAATCATTGAGCCATCTCTCCAACTCCCTCCAACATCCACTCTTTCTTTCTTTCTTTCTTTCTTTCTTTCTTTCTTTCTTTCTTTCTTTCTTTCTTTCTTTCTTTCTTTCTTTCTTTCTTTCTTTCTTTCTT